TACTCGTAAATATATACATTATATACGCTATGTTCATGCGACCCACTGATGATGCTCTAGTTGCCGTTGCACCTGTGATATAACAAAAAGATCTCAAACTTAGATACAACTGGAGAGATAGGTCCGAATTATCAGTTTATATATACATTCATATATATATATATATATATATATATATATATATATATATATATATATATATATATATATATATATATATATATATATATATATATATATATATATATATATATATATATATATATTGTTGTAATTAATTTGCTTTACGCAATTGATCGTGACAAACATGCTTCGTAGGTCACTGCCTTAAAGAGAGGTGCATGTACTTTTCTTCCTGTGGTACGTACCTCAGTACTCTTTTACTGTACCGTTACTTAGTTTCCGTCAGTACGAAATATTAGGAAAACTCCAGAATAATTTGGCTGCATAGTTACTGCTTTTAGCAGCAAAATTTCATTTTTCATGACACAATTATTAAATACATTGTTTTCTTTACAAACTTGTATTTGCCACAAATTAAGTTTAAACATTAATTTGTGATATTTAACTATGGAAAAAATGTCCAATGGTTTAAATGAACCTTGTCATTGTTAGTTATTTACCAGCGTAATGTGTCAAGTACACATACGAATTTGCAAGACTGTCAATCATCGTAAGGGTTTTAGGAATGCATTGCTTTTCTCTTTTTTTTAATTTACGTAATTTCTGAAGTCCACTAAATATTTTCTCAGCAAAGTGTAGTTTATTTTTGCTTGACTTCTTTAATAAATATATTAACCACTTTTAATATCACACTTAAAGTTTCCCAATCTGATATATCAACAGCTTTGCTTATGAATTGTAGGCGTCGGTTACAACACTTCCTATTTTTGTCAGCACAATGCCATTCACAATATCTGCTCCAGTCTAATTTTAATCTTCTTAATTTAGATACAGTTTTGATTAATAAATATACAATAATTAACATCCACATAGCACATTATTGAACCAAATGGTACCGATCATTTAATATTAAAGATGAAGGAAAGAGAGCTGCAATTTCTATTTGAGTTTATATATTTGATTTTCTTTTGTCTGAATATACTTTTTCTTGGAATAATAAAACCGTTATAGTTTTGTGTTATTTGGCTATTAATCAGAGACTGCAATTTAAAAAAGACACGAGTTATGCATCTTTGCCCCGAATTCTTAATTTTGTGTTTAATGCAAATTGAGGCATACCTTGCTAACTATCGCGGTATGTTCAGAAATACCGCGGAATAAAAACTTAGCGTTATCTAACTCTAGCTTAACTATTTAGAGCGTACGCAGAGTTTAATGGATAGTTGATTAGAATGCTTCTGTACTGAAGGCAATAAGATTTACAAATGAGCCATTCAACTTTAAGTGAGGTGTTTCCTCTCTTGCCAATTTCTGTAAACATTTTCGTATATTTTCAAATAGATTTATTTTCTGTTCCCAGCGATTTCTGGTTTCAAGACAATTAACAAGATTTTCATACGAGTTTTCATGTCTTCTAACATCAGACGTTTTTATCAATTATCTACTTTTCAACCGTTTTCCATCAAAACTGAAAGTACTATTAGGTCTATGGAATGTTCTAATTGGCATCCATTACGACCAACAAGCCCCATAAGCTACAGTCAAGATAGTTTAAAAATTTTCATACAATTTTCTAAATAGTCAAGGTTTAATTCATTGCAATTATCTACTTAATTAAAAATTTTATTACAAATTATTTCATTCATTTCTTTAGTTTCTGCAATAATGTATGTTTGAGTCATTCATTTTTGTTTATTGTTCCCTTCAAACAACTTCATATGGCTGTCCATCGTTAAGGTCAATCAGATGAATAAATCTTGGTTTTGCTCATTTTTGCTTCCCATACATTGTCTCTTCTATTGAATTTCTCAATAGTTGTTCATTTCTCAAACGTGTCACATCCATCTTTTCATCTTCTCTAAAATTACCTACAATAATCGTCTCTTTTCACTTTTTGTACTTAGCACCTCTACATGTGATTTCCCATCATTCCAGCTGACTTTCTGCATCAGTCTCCATATCGACGCATCAAAGCTTCTGGCTTCTTTCTTCCTTCCTAAACGTTCACTATTCTGATCCATATACCAGGATATTAACAATCGTCTTTTTCAAATCTTTCCTAATTAACTGCGTAAGTAATTCTTTGTTTTCCATTGCATTATTGTCTTTTTCCCCTTCCTAACACGTTCCACCTTGAAAGAGACCAGATAGCTGAAAATTCCCACTTGTTAAGCTTGATCAAGATCAATTGTTTGTTTACCCGTCTACATACCTTTATGAACCTTTTTACATTATGCTTGAAGTTCCTGTTAAAAAAGTCCAGTAGTCCTTATAATCCATTGTATGACCCAACAACTATACCTTAGTCATCCGCAAATCTTCCATCCTTCATCATTTGTCCTCCAACTCAACTCTTCTGTATTTTCCATCGCATCCATTCCCTTCATTTCTCCATATATAGAGAATAGTAAGGCTGATAACAAGCAGTCCTGCCTGACTCTACGTTCTATCAATCTTGTTTCTGAATTACCCTCTACTTCTCTAATTACAAATTCTACTGCATGTGGTTATTGCTGATGAATCTGGTGTCTCTCCAGTGAAATCTGATCTTCAGCATCTCCACTAGTTTAACAAGGATTGCTATACTAAGAGCCATTTCAAAATCGACAAAAATAATTGAAGCTCATTTTTGTACTCTTGAGTACGCTCATTAAGGATTCGCACTACAACTAAAGTTTCTCGAGTGGCTCAACCTTTCATGAGACCAAATTGAGTCTTACCAATGAGTCTATACAATAGTCTAAGTAGATGAAAACTTACATACAGGGATATAAGCAATTCAACACATCAATGCATTAATCTAAAACTTAAATAATGGATCTCAGTAATGTAAATCATCTGTACAATAATTAAAGTAATTTTAGATTTAAGTACCTTGAGTGAAGCAATTTAAGACGTCCAAACATTAATTTAAGTAATGTAAGACATAGATACATTTATCTGATTAATTTAAGATATCAAACATAATCATTGCATCATTCCTGTCAATCGTGGGACGACGATGACTGTCTTATTGCTTAGGTCCCGCTGAGATGCTTCTCCTCCATTCCTCTCGATCTTGAGCAAGAGGTTTCCATCTGCTGGTGTCTATCTGTCTAGCTTTATGTTATTAAAAATTAAATACAACTATCTAAGCAATTTAAGATATCAGTACAATAATTCAGTTCATTTAAGTCTCAAATAACATTGATCTAAGCAATATAAGATATCAGTACAATGATCAAAGTAAAATAAGACAGCTATACCATAATCTAGATAGTTTAAGACTTAAATAACATCAATTAAAGCAATTTAAGACATCCATACAATAATTTAAATACATGTAATAATCTATTACTTTTAACAATGATTTAAAACAAACTGCGCACTTCCATGCATGAATATAATAAAATACATAAAACAATAATCTAAGTAATTTAAGGGTTGTGTTATTCATAATAATCTAGAAATGTAGCATTGTCGTCACATCTTTATTTATTTTAGATTATATTTGATTGAGTTTTAAATAAATAAATATATGCATTAATTTGACAGTACCTAAAAATTATAACATTATATCCAATGTAATTAACAGCATTAGATTATTTCAAAATGCACTCTTACGAGCAAATTGAGGTTTGCACTGTAAATATAATTTCTTTACAACTGGTTGGAAACCTCCAAACATGTGAGCTAATGAATGTATCGGATAACGATTGTTTGATTCAAACAATGTGTATTTCTGGCATAAAAGTATCTTCATTGAAAACGGATGTGACGAATTACAGCTTTCTATTTGATAAATCCGATAGCTTTGGAGTTTGGGGTGGTAAATTTTGGAATCCATCTCATTCCATTATGGCCAGTGTTTATCAGACTATCTATCTATCTATCTATCTATCTATCTATCTATCTATCTATCTATCTATCTATCTATCTATCTATCTATCTATCTATCTATCTATCTATCTATCTATCTATCTATCTATCTATCCTTCTGTCTGTCTGTCTGTCTGTCTGTCTATCTATCTATCTATCTATCTATCTATCTTTTTCTCTCTCTCACTCTGTATATATATATATATATATATATATATATATATATATATATATATATATATATATATATATATATATATATATATATATATATATATATATATATATTTATTATTTATATTTATTTATTTTCTATACGTGTTCTCCTTGTTTTTATTTATTCATTTTATTCATAGATCAACCGTCGACTGATAGGGCTAAGAGGATAATCATTATTGCTGTAGACCCTTGAAATATAATTTTAAATAATATCACAAATATGTTATCCGGAGACTGCTAAATAATTAAATACTTGCCGCACAGTAAAAAAAATATTTATTTGATTTGACGTATGGACTTGACTCGTTGAATTGGTGGACTGGACTTGACCTCGTGGGCGCAATCTTTTTATGGGCTGTGTGGGTGATAATTAGAAGAGAGGTATTCCAAATGTTCCATGATATATTCAAGGGATAATATAGCTGCTACACGTGCCACACATTCATTTGTTTTAACTTAGGATCAATGAAGCAAGTCGGACTAATCTTTGTCGCCCCAAGATACAGTTGATTCGAATAAGGCGTATTCCATTGATACTCGCACAATACGAACAAGTAATACATACGTACGATGTGATGTGATGGGATTGTGATGTTTAACGTAGCGATAACAATTTTTCAGTCGAATCGCACTATGAGAGTTTATAGTAATTTCTAGCACTTGGGCATCATGCCGCAGATATGAAGCATGGTGTCTCACCCAGGAACATTATCCTGACACTAGGCCGACCAGTCCTAACAATGAACTCTTAATGCTGAACATCAAGCATCTGTTAGTAACATTTTTATAAGTTTTTGGTATTACTCGACCGGGGATGGAACCCTCGACCTCCCGCATTCGAGGCGGACGCCCTAACCACCAGGCCACCGGGGCGGTTGCAGCATATATGTATGTATGTATTTATGGATGTCTGTATGGATGGATGGGTTAATGTATGTATGTATGTATGTATGTATGTATGTATGTATGTATGTATGTATGTATGTATGTATGTATGTATGTATGTATGTATGTATGTATGTATGTATGTATGTATGTATGTATGTATGTATGTATGTATGCATGCATGCATGCATGCATGGATGGATGGATGGATGGATGGATGGATGGATGGATGGATGGATGGATGGATGGACCGGGGATAGAATGTATGTATGTATGTATGTATGTATGTATGTATGTATGTATGTATGTATGTATGTATGTATGTATGTATGTATGTATGTATGTATGTATGTATGTATGTATGTATGTATGTATGTATGTATGTATGTATGTATGGACCGGGGATGGAACCCACGATGTATGTATGGATGGATGGATGGATGGATGGATGGATGGATGGATGGATGGATGGACGGACGGACGTACGTACGTACGTACGTACGTACGTACGTACGTACGTACGTATGTATGTATGTATGTATGTATGTATGTATGTATGTATGTATGTATGTATGTATGTATGTATGTATGTATGTATGTATGTATGTATGTATTAACTTCATGAGCTTCCACAGAACTTAATGCTGGAATTTATTCGATTAGTTCCACGCAAAAAGATTTTTGATTGGTGCCATGAAACAGAAATGCTTTAAGTCATGAATAAAGATCGAGTCTATTATGGTCTGGACAACAAGCTATCTGCCTTGCATAATTCAAAACAATTTCACATATCTATTGAACAAAATCAATTACATCTGAACAAATGCAATTAATCGTGGTCGTCATTCACTCCACAATTCAAAATACAATTTCTATGTATCGATCGAGCAAGTCAGCATTGTAAATAATATATATTTGAAATGAAAATAGTTTTCCTGAAACTTGATATATCTATTGATCTCTTTAGATAACATTGAAGCAATTAAACTTAACAACATTTACGAGATCATATTTATGTACAAAAACAAAAATATTTCCGTTTTTGCAGCTCTTGTCAATTCTGCCAAAATATCGACCAATACGTGATTCCAACAGATCAAGTAATTCTCTATCGACCTTCACTTACAAAAGAGTAGTTTATGTTAACTTCTGGTCAACTACAACAAATATCAACTAAAAGTATTTAGTAGTTTGATGTTTTTAACAATATATCCATTTGAATTAAATGCTTCAAAGTGTCAAAAAATTAAATTCATTTCTATGTTTAAACCAGAATACAATGTTTGCTTTGGAATTTAACATCCTGTATTAGCCGTGAGCATTCATTGAACGCATAATTTACCATAATTAGGACTAGCATATGGGTTGCATAATTTACCATAATTAGGACTAGCATATGGGTTGCATAATTTACCATAATTAGGACTAGCATATGGGTTGCATAATTTACCATAATTAGGACTAGCATATGGGTTGCATAACTTACCATAATTTGGACTAGCATATGGGTTGCATAATGTACCATAATTAAGACTAGCATATGGGTTGCATAATTTACCATAATTAGGACTAGCATATGGGTTGCATAATTTACCATAATTAGGACTAGCATATGGCTTGTATAATGTACCATAATTAGGACTAGCATATGGGTTGCATAATGTACCATAATTAGGACTAGCATAAGGGTTGCATAATTTACCATAATTAGGACTAACATACGGGTTGCATAATTTACCATAATTAGGACTAGCATATGGGTTGCATAATTTACCATAATTAGGACTAGCATATGGGTTGCATAATTTACCATAATTAGGACTAGCATTGGGTTGCATAACTTACCATAATTTGGATTAGCATATGGGTTGCATAAATTACCATAATTAGGACTAGCATATGGGTTGCATAATTTACCATAATTAGGACTAGCATATGGGTGGCATAATTTACCGTAATTAGGACTAGCATATGGGTTGCATAATTTACCATAATTAGGACTAGCATATGGGTTGCATAATTTACCATAATTAGGACTAGCATATGGGTTGCATAATTTACCATAATTAGGACTAGCATATAGGTTGCATAATGTACCATAATTAGGACTAGCATATGGGCTGCATAATTTACCATAATTAGGACTAGCATATGGGTTGCATAATTTACCATAATTAGGACTTGCATATTGGTTGCATAATGTACCATAATTAGGACTAGCATGTGGGTTGCATAATGTACCATAATTAGGACTAGCATTGGGTTGCATAACTTACCATAATTAGGACTAGCATATGGGCTGCATAAATTACCATATTTAGGACTAGCATATGGGTTGCATAATTTACCATAATTAGGACTAGCATATGGGTTGCATAATTTACCATAATTAGTACTAGCATATGGGCTGCATAAGTTACCATAATTAGGACTAGCATTGGGTTGCATAACTTACCATAATTAGGACTAGCATATGGGCTGCATAAATTACCATATTTAGGACTAGCATATGGGTTGCATAATTTACCATAATTAGGACTAGCATATGGGTTGCATAATTTACCATAATTAGTACTAGCATATGGGCTGCATAATTTACCATAATTAGGACTAGGATATGGGTTGCATAATTTACCGTAATTAGGACTAGCATATGGGTTGCATAATTTACCATAATTAGGACTAGCATATAGGTTGCATAATGTACCATAATTAGGACTAGCATATGGGCTGCATAATTTACCATAATTAGGACTAGGATATGGGTTGCATAATTTACCGTAATTAGGACTAGCATATGGGTTGCATAATTTACCATAATTAGGACTAGCATATAGGTTGCATAATGTACCATAATTAGGACTAGCATATGTGTTGCATAATTTACCATAATTAGGACTAGCATATGGGTTGCATAATTTACCATAATTAGGACTAGCATTGGGTTGCATAACTTACCATAATTAGGACTAGCATATGGGCTGCATAAATTACCATATTTAGGACTAGCATATGGGTTGCATAATTTACCATAATTAGGACTAGCATATGGGTTGCATAATTTACCATAATTAGAACTAGCATATGGTTTGCATAATTTACCATAATTAGGACTAGCATTGGGTTGCATAACTTACCATAATTAGGACTAGCATATCTGCTGCATAAATTACCATATTTAGGACTGGCACATGGGTTGTATAATTTACCATAATTAGAACTAGCATATGGTTTGCATAATTTACCGTAATTAGGACTAGCATATGGGTTGCATAATTTACCATAATTAGGACTAGCATATAGGTTGCATAATGTACCATAATTAGGACTAGCATATGTGTTGCATAATTTACCATAATTAGGACTAGCATATGGGTTGCATAATTTACCATAATTAGGACTAGCATTGGGTTGCATAACTTACCATAATTAGGACTAGCATATGGGCTGCATAAATTACCATATTTAGGACTAGCATATGGGTTGCATAATTTACCATAATTAGGACTAGCATATGGGTTGCATAATTTACCATAATTAGAACTAGCATATGGTTTGCATAATTTACCATAATTAGGACTAGCATTGGGTTGCATAACTTACCATAATTAGGACTAGCATATCTGCTGCATAAATTACCATATTTAGGACTGGCACATGGGTTGTATAATTTACCATAATTAGAACTAGCATATGGTTTGCATAATTTACCATAATTAGGACTAGCATTGGGTTGAATAACTTACCATAATTAGGACTAGCATGTGTTGTATATTCATCCATATGCTGACAAGTAAAACATAAACACAAAATGCTCATTCAATTATCTCTAGACATGAAACGTCTCTCTCTCTACGTGGCAATTAAATTAATTTATTGGACCTAATTAGTCAGTACATCAAGTCCTATAAATTCCACAAGTTTGAAATATTTCGTTTTTTATTTTGTTTCATTGTTATTGTTTGTTCTCTATTTTAGACACAAATAATAGGTTATTTCCAACTTGTCCTCATGCAAGATTAAAAGTGACATTCTGCTATGTCATTTATGGTACAATCATGATGATTTTTTTTCACTCCGATATTCAAATTTCTACTACCGAATACCAGAGAAATAATTTTCAATCTTCCGGCTGCCTGGCGAAATATTGTGCAGAATGCTATATGTAATAACTTCAGTGTTTATATAATAATGTTATAATAACTTCAGTGTTTATATATCAAAATTGTCATATTACCTTTTAACATGAACATGTTTTGTTAACTATTGTAGATTAGATGAGTACATTCTTAATATTACAGCTGCCTGGAGAAATATGATTGCGCAGAATGCTATATGTAATAACTTCACTTCATTTCACATTTTTATAACTATTATAGATTACATGAGTACATTACATATCGTATTTATGCTTTGGTTCTTTCAAGCATCTCGTTAAATATTATATTCTTCTGGGAATACAGAAAATGGATAATAAATGAAACATCGGATTGTATTGATTGCTATCTGCCTCATTTGTAACTAGATGAATATATGGAATCCTTGATTATATAATTAATATATAAAGGGATTCCAATTTACATATATTAAGATGACCCGCATGGAAAACACTGTATCAGGATTGACTTTTTCATTTTTCGTCAACGTTGATGTAAGTGTCGACACTTCGTTTTAAAATGAATACATATTAATATGCAGAGAGGTAATATTCCGCGGCCGATGGTCTATTTAGAATACTTCCTCGTATAAACAAACAACATGGGCTATTAGCATGGCTTGATGTCACTGGTAATATAACAAATTAGCATCCTAATACTAACCTTTTAATCCTGAAGACCTAGCGAGGCAGCTGATGGTTCAATTTGTAAATGTCTTTTGTAGAACTGCCGGAGTTCAAATGCTCAAACCTCTTAGTAAGACATTTACTGTTTAACTCATTATGAACGCCGGACTGAACTTACCAAATAACTAGCTAGGCATATGATAATCATGCGTTAT